GCCAAATGAGATGGGTAGGGGAAGGGGTTAGAAAAGGGGCTGAAGCTATGACTTTTGGGTAAAGTGGCACAGTGGCATTAAAGCACTTTCTCTCTTTTCACTTGGAAAATGTTAGGAAATGTAAAAACAGAACCTTATAAAAGGTAGAGGAATACTAACCACCCAGTAACCAGGTGAGGAATCAGGGAATGGCATGGGAATGTAGCAGAGGGGCTGCAGCAGAGCACAGCAGAGCACCCAAGTCCCCATCATGACCCTGTCTATAAATAGCCTGGACATGGCCATGCCCAAACTATCAAGTGTTAAACAGGGCCTGCCAAAATTTTCCCTGGCTTCCAGATGAAAAGGAGAGCCTGCGAATAAAAAGGGAAACATAGATTTAGGTAAGAAACTACTGAGAATAACAGGCCCATTCTTGAGCACAAATAACAAAAGAAAAAAATGTATAAATCTAACTTCTTCAAAATTTAAAATGTTGAGCTGGTTATGGTGGCACCTGCCTACAGTTCCAGCTACTCAGGAGAATGAGACAGGAGAATTGCAAGTTCAAGGCCAGACTGGGCAACTTAGTGAGACCCTGACTTAAAAAAACAAAAACAAACAAACAACTTGTACGAGAATGTTGATATTGGGAAATAATAAAAAATACACATTTGGTCTCTGCCCTGGTTCCTGAGAGACAGCTCCTAAAACTCTTGGAATCTCCAGAGTGAGAAGAGTACCTTTGTATGCTAATGAGATGACTGGTGGCTAGGGTCCCCATATAGCTTCAGGAAGGGGCTAGTAACCAAAAAGACCAAGGTAGCATTAGAGGGTTGGGAGTTTCAGCAGCCAAACCCAAACCTTTGGGAGAGAGAGGGGCTTAAAGATTGGGCCCATCACCTGCAGCCAATCATGTTGTCAATTGTGCCAATATAATGAGCCTCCATAAAACCCCAAAAGGACAGGGTTCAGAACATGTGGTGCTTCCTGAGGGGTGTGCAGAAGGCATGGATACTCTGTGCTCCTTCCCACCCCGTGCCCTTGGCATCCCTTCCATCTGACTATTCTCTCGTGTCCTTTATAATAAATTGGTGAGTATAAGTGTTTGTGTTCTATAACCATCCTAGCAAATTAATCAGACCTGAAGGAAGAGTTCATGGGAACCCAATGTCTAAAGAGTCAATCAGAAGTGCAGGTAACAACCTGCAGCTTGTGGTTGGCATCTGAGGTAAGGGCAGTCGCAGGGCAGAGCTCTCAACCTATGGGTTTATGCTATCTCCAGGTAGACAGTATCAAAACTGAGTTGAATTAGAGGACACCCAACAGAGTGGTGTGTAGGCAAAAGGTCACACATGAGGTGATTCCATTACATGAAATACAATAGGCAGATCACAGATGGAAGAGATCAGTGGTTACAGAGTGAGGAGGAAGGGAGTGGAGAGTGAATGTTGATGGGTACTGGTCTTCTTCCTCAGATGATTATAACATGCTGGATTAAATTATGATGACTGCACAACTCCATGAGTATAGTAAAATCCAATGAATTGTGTATTTTAAAAGGATTGTATGGATGGGCATGGTGTAGTACACCTATAATCCCACTAACATGGGAGGCTGAGGCAGGAGGATTGCAAATTTAAGGTAACCTCAGAAATGTAAGAAAACCCTAAGCAATCTAGCACAAGCCTGTCCCAAAATAAAAATAAAAACAGGCTGGGGATATAGCTCAATGGGTTCAATTCCCAGAACCAAAGAAATAAAAATACCTGTGGGTTCAATTCACAGAACCAAATAAATAAACAAATAGGTAATTTATGGTATGTGAATTATATCTCAATAAAACTGTTATTTTAAAAAAAAAAACTGGTTCAGGGCTGGGGGATATAGGCTCAGTTGGTAGAGTGCTTGCCTCATATGTACAAGGTCCTGGGTTAAATCCCCAGCACCATAAAAAACAAACAAACAAAAAAACACTAGTTCAAGAGGAAATATCATCATGGATTTAAGGCCTTTTAAGAAAAAGATCATTGCTTTGCCCTGTTACTTGGCTGTCTGAGGCCCCAGTCTACCTGCTTTACCCTCATGTACAACCATGCAAGATGTCCTTCTAGTGATGGATTCTGTACTCTACCTTCCACTAAGAAGAACCAGATCTCCTTGAAAAAGTAGCCCATACATGTTACAGGGTAGGGAGGAGCGAGAGCCAGAGACAGCTTACTGTCAGAAAACAAAGGTACTTTCACAGGCACCTCATGAATGGAATTAAAAGGTTAAGGAGATCAGCCCCAAGGAAGGGCTGTCATGACCAGGCAATGGCATCTTGAGCATAAAAAATAACACTGGTTAGAATTCACTGGAGTGATTCTAGACCTGGCCCCAAAGGGGAAATTATACAAAGTATACTAGACTACATATTGATGCGTCCCTAATTTTTCATAAAAGGGAAAATGAGAAAAAGATAAAGTCATTCCACTGAAAGAATATAGAATACTATGATTTGTTTTACTGATAAAGCAAATTGGCCTCTTTGAGTAGATTACATCGTTATTAGAGTAATAGCGATGGCTATTTATTTTTCTCCTAGAGATGTAAGATTTTATTTAAAAAATACTGAGATGAGAGCACAAGAAGACTGGGATTCAGCGACAGCCTCAGATGGGCCTGAAGCAGGAGGCTGTTTAGGACGCCACATCCAGGACACCCTCCTTGGACATATAAGGAAGACGACTGTGGGATTGTGCTGGGAGGTTTCGTGCTGGTTGTGGATCTAGTGAACGGCCCACAGCTGAAACATTAGGAGCACAAGAAGCAGAGGGGGACAACATGAAAACCTGCATCAGGGTGACTTTTCCATCTCCAGGGGAGTTGGGTGCCCCTGGAAGTACTGTGAGAGCTCTGACCTGACTGACCTTCAGCGAAGCTCTGCTCTCCTCCCTGTGTCAGACTCTCCTTGGGTCTTCACATCCTTGCCGCTACAACTTTATGTCTTGTAATCGCCTCCTGGCATCCTCCTATCAATCTCAGCTCTATCCCTGGGAGCAGCCACACTGGCAGACAAGGGTCCACTATCATCAGCACAAAACATGCAGAGCTTGAATTTAACACATAATGGGAAACCACTAGAGGACTTACACGGGGGCATGACAGAATCTGTTTTATTTTCTTCTGGTGCTAGAGATCAAACCCAGGGTCTGACCCATGCTGTGCAAGTGCTCTATCCCTGAGCCGCACCACCTGTCTTAACTAATGTTTTTTAAAAAGATCTCTCTTTAAAAGCTCAGTGCACCTGTGGTCTCAAGTTACTCAGGAGGCTGAGGCAGAAGATCACTTGAGCCTAGGAGTTTGAAACCAGCCTAGGCAACAGAGCAAGACCCTGTCTCAAAAAAAAAAAAAAAAAAAAAAAAAATCCCTTTGATTGTAGGGAGGAAAAAGAACTGAAGAGACAGGTAAGGAGCTTGCTACATGCTCTAGTCAAGAGGTATGCAGCTTAGGAGTAGAGCACTTGCCCAGCGTGTGTGAGGCACTGGGTTTGATCCTTACCATTACATTAAAAAATAAGAATAATAAATAAAGGCATTCTGTCAATCTACAACTACAAAAAAACATTACAAAAGAAAAAAAGGTATGAGTGCTATGAGTTGATACAGATGTGAAAAGAAAGCCTCCTGGACCCAGCAAGACAGCATTCTCAGCTTCTATTGGACCCTCTCACCACATGCATATAGGATGTTTGATAAAGTATAAAAAAATTATTTTAAACATTCTTTAGACAAGCTCTAAAGAAAAAAAGAAAGGATGGGGTAGAACTAAAGTCAACACAAGGCAAAGGAGGTGATCAAGGGAAAGGGCGGCTCTGGAGATGGGATCTGAACACACTGAGGTCTCATTCTGTCAGAGCTCGATTTGAGATTTCTGCACAAAGAAAGGCCCTGAATAGCTGCCTCCTCTCCAACAGGGGGTGTGGAAAAACTCTTCCCTCCTGCCCATGAAAGCAACAAGAAAGCCAGTTGTTGCTCAGGGATTTGGGTGGGGAAAATGTGTTCTGCAAAAAATCACAATCCTAAGACCATGATAAATCTGAATTTATACTACATCAGTGCCACAGAAGTTCCAAACTAAGAAATGAACATAAAGATCTAGTCCTAGTTGGGAATGGTGGTGCATGCCTGTTATCCCAGCAGCTCAGGAGGCTTAGGCAGAAGGATCATGAGTTCAAAGCCAGCCTCAGCAAAAGTGAGGTGCTAAGCAACTCAGTGAGACCCTGTCTCTAAATAAAATAAGGCTGGGGATGTGGCTCAGTGGCCAAGTGCCCTGAGTTCAATCCCCAGTACAAAAAAATAAAAATAAATAAATAAAGATCTAGTTCTATAAAAGTGAAACTCCTGGGGCACCCAGGAGAACCAACACAAAACAGCTCTATAGGGACACATCTATAATGGTGCCTGGAAGTCCCACAGGAAACAAACACTTTGGTCAAAAGTAAACTCACAGTCAAAAGGCTCAGCCCATGTAAAGAAACAATCCATCATAAGGGAGAGCTAATGCCAGCACAAACAGGAATGGATTCCCCCCAAAAGTGAAATTATACAAGCACCCCTTTTCCTTTTTTTCCCTCCAATACAGGGAAAAATGTGTTCTGCAAAAAATCTACACCCTCTACCACTGAGCTACATCCCTTTTTACATTTTATTTTGAGACAGGGTCTCATTAAGTTGCTCACGCTGGCCCTGAACTTGCAATCCCCCTGTTTCAGCTCCTGATTCACTGGGATTACAGGATTACAGTGCCACCAGGCCTGAAAACCTGTACCTCTCTTGCATGCTTCTGTAACTGTTTATTTACTTGACTCTCTGTTATCCCTGATATCTGGCCCAATGCATAGCACAAACCAGAAGTCAGTCTATTTATTCAGTAACTGGGCAAATGGCTGTTCTAAGGTTCTAAGAACTAGTCCTGGCACAATACGTTAGAAGGAGTAAGAACTAAAAATTATTTCCTGAATGAATAAATGAGCAAACCTTCTGAGCAGCCAGACTTTGGCTGCTTTCACTAAGGGCCAAGGATGTAAAATACTGGATACACTCATCTACTTCTGTTTGAGGTAAAGAAGCCAGCAACTGTCTGAGTTCTTCTTCAATGGAAGAATCCTGAAATAAAAGGAAAAGAAAATATAAACAAACTCAACAGCTGAGTATAAAGAAACCTCAAAGAATCGAAGTCAAAATACAAAAAAAAAAAAAACACACAAATATATACATATATACTATATTATATATTAGCAGAGATAAATTAGTGCTTTTAGACTTGAAAACACTTACCCACCCAGGTAAACACTTAATTTTGAATTCTATACTTTCCTGTCTGCTACTGTATCTGAAAGACGTATTGCAAATTATTAACTCTCAACTTTCACCTCAGAGGCTTTTTGACATTTTGACTCAAAATAAATAAATAAATAAACAAAATTTTTGAAAATTAAAAAAAAATTTAAATGATTATACCCTTTCTAACCAGTGATTGCTTTTTTTAAACTATTTATTTTAGTTATAGGTGGACACACAATATCTTTATTTCATTTTTATGTGGTGCTGAGGATTGAACCCAGTGCCTCATGCGTGCTAGGCGAGTGCTCTGCCACAACCCCAGCCCCAGTGATTGCTTTTTAAATCCAAAATTCTTTACTATCTCATTTTCCCTTTTAATTAATATCTTACATATTCACTTTTCTATTTTTTAAGAACTGACAGCTTACATAGAAGCTTCTAAGAGTTTCATTTAAACATACTTTAAGTCAGGAGTAGTGGCATGAACTTCTGGTCCCAGCTACTTGGGAAACTGAGGCATGAAGACCACTTAAGCCCACAAGTTCAAAAACAGACTGGGTAACAGTGAGACTAACCCAAACAAACATGTTTATCCATGTTCAAAACAGAGGCTCTCAACCCAGGACTCCCCCACCCCCAGGAAATACTTAGCAATGTCTGGAGACATTTTTAGTTGTTCCAACTTGGACGAGGGGGTGCTGTTGGTGTCTAAGGAATGGAGTCCAGAGATGCTGTTAAACCTTCTACAAGGTATACAGCCTGCTTCAAAATACAGCCTGGCCCAAAATATCAACAGTTAAATCTGAGAAAACCTGATCTACATATGGCAAACTCAGATCAAGGGACTGACTCATAGATATCAATATGAAGTCATTTAATGGTGTAGTGGCTCCCCATCTCCAAAGATAGAAAATTATCTTGAAAGAACAGCCCATCTGGAGGAATCAAATTTCATATGAAAACTAACATTCAGTTTGACATCCTAGTTTACTTGCTTGTGAAAATTAGCTAACAACTACTTTTTTAAAGTTTATTTTGCATCCACAGAGAAGATAATATGTTAAGGTGTTTTTCACTCTGGATTATATTATTTACTTACTTCTTTTAAAGATGGCAAAGGAGGCGGTGGGAGAAAAAAGCGAAGATCACTCTCTTTACTTCGTGCCAAACCAATAAGAGTCCTAGCATCACAGGCCTGAGCGATTATTCTATACTGATAATCTGTTGTAAAAGGAGATTTTTTTTGTAAACACCCAAAGTACCTATCATTGTCACAAGAACTAAATGAACAAACTACTTTAAAGCACCCATTTTTAAACTTTTCTACAGGTTTATAATAAAAAATTTCCCAAGTATTTTTTCTCATTTTCAATGCCTGATTACACAACATTTCCACAACAGATCTCACAATTCCCTTTAACATTTATCTGGGGACCAGGTCATGATTCAGCTAATTTTTTGGAAAAAATAAAGCTCAAACATAAAAATTGGTAAGTTAGAATCAGTATAGGTTCTTCTTTTTTAATAATTCCAGCATTCAAGAGCTGTTTTTAAGCCAGGACAGTAGTATACACTTATAATCCCAGCTACTCAGGAGGCAGAGGGAGGAGGATCACAAGTTTGAGGCCAACCTAGGCAGTTAAGGGGGATCCTGTTCCAAGATTTTAAAATAATAAAAAGGGCTGAGAGTGTAGCTCAGTAGCAGAGCACTTGCCTAGCATACGTGAGGCCCTGGGTTCAATGCCCAGTATGACCAAAAAAAAAAAAAAAAAAGCTATTTGATCACTACATAAAACACAAGTTGCATTAAAGTCTTTGTCTGGTGGTGGGAGATGGTACTTTGGCATCAGTGATATCCATGAATATTTAGTTTGAGATTCCAGATGGTAGAACTCTGATTCAAACATACCCTCTTTATGTAGCAAAACAAAATTCCAGCCACTGAAGGGACATTCTTTTCAATAACAGCAGCTAATAAACTGGGTAAATACTTCAAGATCATGTACATTTGCAAAATATACATGCAAGGGATCCTCCCTGATTTTTCTGATGCAGTAAGACTGGAATGGAGCCCTGGAGGGCAGATTTTGAAAGAGACTTTTATTCTAAGTCTTCACTAACATTAAGTGAAATTAGTATATAGTATAATTATCTCTACCAACCAATCAATAAATTAACTTACATGAAAACAGAGATCTTATTCTAAGACTAAACTTTTCTTTGAGAACATCAGTTTTTTCTCCATTGTTCATTTTTCACTACTAATAAATTAAAGTTTAATCCACAGACTATAATCAGAGCAGATTTGATCTTTCATTCAAACACTTCTACTGTATAACTCGTGATTTTTAAATACAATATTTTAAACATTTCTTAAAAATTATACATACACAATTAGGTACATTTAGCTAATTATTAGTATTAGAACCAAGTAGATTATCAAAGTCAAAGTAAAGATAATAGTATGGTGTAGCAAATAATAAAATATATTTTATTAAATAGGAACCAAAAGAAAGTACAAGAGGTTGGAGCTGTAGCTCAGAGGCAGAGTGCTTGCCTAGCATGTCTGAGGCACTGGGTTCAATCGATTCTCAGCACCACACATACATACATACATACATACATACATACATACATACATACATAAATAAGTTCATCCACAACTAAAAAATATATGTTACAAAAAAAAGTACAAGAAAGCATTAAGCAGTAACTATAAGAATCAGAATTTCTCTTGAGAAAATATGTAATCAAATAAAATTTTGTTCTGGTAAAAAGTTACATAAATACACACACACACACACACACACACACACCCTCAGTTTTGAGGTTGCTGTTACCAAACATATCTGGCTACCAGGCAGCAGGTTTCCTATTTTATTGATCACTGGAGCTTCTTCTCAAATTTTGAATACATTTTTTATATATATTAAGATTGCCTGAATTATTTTCCTTCCTTAATCTCATTCCCTTCTCTTCGATATGAGAAACCCAGAGCCAGCTAGTGTGTGCCGCAGTTCCACGGCCCTCTTACCATGCCAGTGGTGGGTCTCTGACATCTCCTGCACGGCCTCCAGTCGGGCGGTCCTCTCATCCGCTTTGCTCTTCTTCAAGAGCAGCCACATAGCACACTCATGATCTTCTATATCAACCGTGCTAAAAGTGTCTTTGCAAAGAGAAAAAGACACAAAAACAAGAAGGTGGATGGTTAAGATAACATTTTTATCCTTTCTTTTATTTCAGAAGGCAATTTATAAACATTTAAAATATACAACAGGAGAGTTAAATCCATATAGTGGTATTCCTATTGATTGCTATGTCTGCTCTCAGTGCTATCACTTTGGTGTATTTATTGTAACTGTTATGCATGTACTTTGGTTTTATAAACTATGGTGGCTTTCACTTCATAGTCATTTTTTTTTCTCCTTTCCCCCTTAAAAAAAAACTGTTTTAAAACAGATCGACTATTTAAAGACATGAAAGAATGAAGTGCTAACACCCATATGCCTATCACATGTAGATTAAGTAACTGCTATCTTGCCATGTTTGCTTCATCATCCTGCAGGTGTCTATAAACTATTAGGAAAGAAGCTGCAGACATAATGACATTTTACCCTTCAGTAGTTCAACCTACATCCCCTAAAAATTAGCCTGTATTCTTTTACACAACTGCAAAATGCATCATCCCAACCAGAACACTAACAATAATCTTCCAAAACCATCTAAAATCTAGTGTAACACCATATGCAAATTTTCCCCAAGTTTTTTTTAAAGATGTTTTTAAAATCAGGATTTGATACATTCTCTTTAGCCTCTTTTAATTCTAGACGGTTTTCCTGCCTATTCTTCATGATGACAAAGACTTAAAGAAATCAGGTCAGCTTTTTTTTATACATAACTTCACATTGTAGATTTGCCTGATTGTAAAATCTACATTTTTATGCAATAGTCTCATTATGAGAAAGCATGGGAGTGATTTTCTAACAAATTTAAAATTCTGTACTACTTGTCAAGAAAACAGGGTACATTTAAGGGCTGGGATTATAGCTCAGTGGTAGAGCGCTTGTCTAGCATATGTGAGGCACTGGGTTCGATTCTCAGCACCACATATAAATAAATAAAAATAAAGTTCTATCAACAACTAAAAAATAATAATGAAATTAACAAAAGAAAAAGAAAACAAGGTACATTTAATCTCAATTTATTTACAACTAATCACAATCTAGTCACAGAGAGGGAAGAAAACTGTCCAGGGCATCAAGCCTTAAAATTAAGTACAGCCCAATAGAGTTAGTTACTCAACTAATTTTCCACACCTATTAAAAACATTAGTAAAGAATTTTTTTAAAAACCTCAGGGTGGTTATGCAAATGACTTTAAGATGACTGATAAGGGTTCCAAGTTAAATGTTTATTACTTACCAGCAAATGGACTCTGTAATATCTTGGCTGATGCTGCTAATATTTTTCTTACTGCTTTGTGAAGTTCTTTTCTTGCCAGCCAGGCAATCCCTGAAATGATGGCAAACTTAAATCAACTAATTCCAAACTTTTTCACAAGGAAAACATAAAATAGCATCTCTGTCTTTTTATTACTATTATCAATTTTTAAAATTTCTTTTACTACTATCAATTTAACTAAAGTCATTATGGGAACACAAATTGTTCTCAAAGTCAGGGAAAAAAGTAAAAACAAAACAAGAACATTAGCCAAAGCTATCAAAACTCTTCAAGGCTAAAAATATTCAAGAAAATGTACCTTGTAAACAGACCACATGGAACTGAAATTTGAAGATATCTTTTTTTTTTCCCTTCAGTACCAGGAATTGAACTCAGGGGCACCTGACCACTGAACCACATCCCCAGCCCTATTTTGTATTTTATTTAGAGACAGGGTCTCACTGAGTTGCTTAGCACCTCGCCTTTGCTGAGGCTGCCTTTGAACTCGTGATCCTCCTGCTGGGATAACAAGCATGCACCACCACACCTGTCGAAATTTGGAGATATCTTAGAGATGAGATTAAGCCTCACTTTATAGATAAATCACAAGTCATAACAACTGTCTATGTAACTGAAATTATGAACATACCATAGAAGCATGCTGAAATCAGAAGGATAATGTGATAATAAACACCAACAAGCTAGCATGGTGATACATACGGCTCACAGTCAGGGGAGCAGTGGAGCCTGCTGTACTAGGGACCATAATGTGCTCACAGGCACAGGCTGGCTGACAACATAGGACTGGCAACTGTAAGTCAGTGTGGCTGACTCAGTGCATGAAAATGCACCCCTCTGCTCTAAAATGTCATGTTCACTAAGTTACCCAGAGGCTCACAAGTGACCTAAACATTGAGAAAGAGAATGTCCTAATTAGTAAGGGCAGTTGTTTTAGTCTCCATGACAGAACATAAGTGAGCTGGTGTTCATATTTATGAATCCATCTCAGGAGTAAAATCATTAAAGCAGAAATATCTCTGGGCCAAATGAGAAAATCACATTTTAGTACCTGCCAAACTGAGTGCCAGCCTCTGAACCAAGGGCCCCAACTGAGGAGGGAACTGCAGGTTCAGACAGCTGGCTGTCCTCACTTCACTGAGTTCTAGAGGAACTACAAACTCGAATCAGGTATAAATCCAAAATTTGGTTTTCAATCCATGCTTTCAGAACTTAGTTCTGAGGATCTAATGATTCTCAAAGTGAGCTGAATCTATCTTCTTAATACCGTGTTTTAAAGAAACTTGTTTTTAAATTCACTAACTAGTTCCACTTTTCACAGAGATGACTTTACAATAAACTTACCATGATTTTCTCTTTTGTCTAAAGGAACTGGGTGCAAATATATGTATGACTTCATTTTTTCTCTTTCTACCACTTGAGTATCTAATGTCAAAGACTTCTTCAGGGCCAGAACTTCGTATGTAAAAAATAAAGAACCTCTTAAGAAGAAACAAGAAATTCATCATAAATACAGAATCTAAATGTGAACAAGATTTTCACAAGGAAACATACATAATATCCAAATGATCTTTGCATACACACACATATACACATCTCAATTTAAATAACAAATAGCTTCATAAAATTTTCCAGTCAAGAAACATTACTAACAGCATCCCAGAAACCCACAATGTGTCCTTGTGTCCCCTCCCTAATCCTGACTCTTCTTTCACCTCTATTGGTTATTTTCTGATTTTTATTATAATAACGTCCCTGCTATTATTCAGTTTTACTACCTACATAGGCATCCTAAGACAACAGAGCTTAGGTTTGCCTGTGTTTGAACTTCATTTGAATGGAATCACACTAGATGTATTCTTTTTTTTTTTCTTTTTTTAACATTTTTTTAGTTGTAGATGAACACGATATCTTTGTTTCATTATTTTTTTAATGTGGTGCTGAGGATATATACACATACATACATACATACATACTCCTGTAGGGAACATATCAGAAGCAGAATTACATACTTCCTGACAGTACATAACACTGTTCAACTTTACTAGAAAATGTCAAACTAGTTTTCTAAAAGGATTAGGCAATTTATACTCCCATCACCAGAATATACACATTTCTCCTTTCCTAAAGGCTATATCTAAAGTTTATTTTTAAATGTAAGATAGAAAGTTATCTGTCATATATCCTGACATGAAAATTTTCTTCCTCATTAGATTGACCTCCGTAAATCTAGACACAAAGGCTCAGCAAATTCAGTTATCCTGTGCCTTCTGCTGACCTGGGTTTCTGTCCTAAAGCCAACAGATGAGACAAAGGCCAGACCCAGACACACCAGAGGAACACAGAGAAGGCTCTAAGGAACCCTCTGCTCCCTTGGGGATCCATCTGAGCAATTTTCCAGGGAAGATGATGTTCTTCATTAAAAGTTGGGCAATACATTTTCACTACAGTCCTGAAACAATTGCGATCTAGACAAAGAAACTGCATTGTAGAAAAGGGTATACATTTCTCCTCTGTGCAGAATGAGTCAAAGGGGAAAACCATCTAAATAACTTTTGCCTTACGTTACAATGTCAGGAAGTAAGGTATATGTTTGGATAAAATGCCAAATATCTCCTTTATAATTTTAGCATCTGAACTGATTTTACATTTATACTAGTGAAACAAAGTATTAGCAAACTCAGTAGAGTAGTATCAAACATACATTTAACATCTATACCCCTCCCTGAAAAAGGAAGATCGTAAAGTAACAAATGTTAGAAAGAGGGACACTCCAATCACTGGGCGGGCACCTCTCAAGGAGCGTGAGATGTCAGATGTCAGTTTTCTCAGACAGCCTCCATTTCCTTTCATTGGAGCTTTATTGTGATTTAGGTATTTTCAAAAATAATTTTAAGGTAACTTTCACCCTCTTCGCTCACTTTCAGTCCTGATATAAGACATGACTTTATGTGCATGAAGGCTGTGTGGGTCTCAGACTCTCCCCTCAGCAACAGGGAAAGGCAGGCAGTCCCCAGTGTACACTTTGGACCAAAGAGAAAACATCCCTCAAGGTAGAGAACCAGATCAAGACAACACTGAATTGTTGGAACCAATGACTAAATCCGTATCCTTTGACTACAGCATGTGACCTATAAATCACTTCCACTGAGATTTCAAATATTAATATAATGAGGTCAATTAATATTTTGCAGTTGAACTTACCCTAAAATAAGTGATCCAGTAAATTTTATTATATTTCCTTTAAAAAGAAAGGGAGAAAGTCAATAAGATGAATTCCACTCTTAAAAGTGTGACAGGAAATAGGCAATAGTCTTTATTTCATATATAATCAGATAAAGTTATTGATATTTTTCTATTAATACAATCAGTTGCTATTAACACATGACTTCCCAACCTCAGACACAAACAAACCAATCAATAAGAACTTCAAAAATATAATTACTATTTATAGCTTTTTATACTCACTCTCTCCTTCCTTGAGCTTTTGTTATGCCATTTCCAACAAAATCACTGGGGAACATAGACCCTGATCCACTAACCATACTGCCAGGACCAGATTCCTACTGAATATGACGCCCAGAAAGCTCACCTCCTTTCTGACTCCTTTTAGTTAACAACCAATTAAATAAAGGAACAGGGAGCATTATCCCTATCACTGGTAGGACTATGATGAAAAATTATGTTTGTCAAGTGCCAACACAAACTGGCATTTCTCAAAGTAATTATGTTTGGTGGTTAAGTATTATATGTAGGTAGCCTCATTTAAAAAATAGGTCAGAAAAAAAGTGTGTGTGTGTGTGTGTGTGTGTTTGCATGTTATAAATTTATTTATGCTTTTGGTGGAACTTGGAAAACAGCTTTTTAATATTAAAAAAATTCGATTGGCAGACACTGTTAGTTGCTTATTCAACATACATATACATCTAAAATTATTCAAATCCACAGACTACCTGGCAGCTGGCCATGCAACACAGCTGTAGCCAATCAGATATCAGATATTAGTGAAAGTCTATGAGGAGAATCCCTCCCCTACAAAAGACAAGCCTCACAAGATGGCTTTTGGCCTGCTGCCTTCTTGATGCCCAGGGATTCAGCAACCATCCTGTGACTATGAGAACAACACAAATAGTGGAGCAGGAAGACAGGAAGATTGCTAAGTTTCAACTCCTGCCCCAAACTGTGTCTTGACTTCCTGATTTGTATGGAAAATAGAAATTTAATTTAAGCCACTGTGATCAAGTTTCTGTTGTATACATTGTGCACAACCTTAACTGGTGTATTACAGTTTTCACCCTAGGATGGCCTCATGGACTTTCCCTTCCTGCCCTCACACTGGGGACCCCAGGAACACCCCTATATTGCTACTCCCACTGCTTACTAGAATTTCTCTTTTTCATTGGACCCTTTAAACAAAATACAGCCTCATGAGCCTTTTCTTCCTACCCTAAAGTTCACTGTTATGGGCCAGGCTAATGGACAATGACCAAACAGGCTCCATTTTACCCTGAGACTCCATTATGAGAAATGCTTCTCCAAAGGGAAAGTCCCACCTCTGTACCCATTAATAATTGTCTAACATAGTACACTTGGCAACACAAAATAGCAATTTTTATACAATGTATAATTGTTCTCTTTGGTTTCCATTTTTCTTGGGTAATGTACCTTGTCAGAGATTGATTATCTAATAGACGTCAGTAACCATTCTCTAACTTGTACTAAACTAGGGTCATTTTGACCCACTTCCCTTCTGTTTGCTTGCTGCTATACCAACCTGGAGAGTCCCGTGGAAAAAACTAATGTACCCACTGCATTGTCTCACTAACTGCCCAATTCGGCTTCTGTACCTGCTTGCTTGCAGCTACGTCAACCCGGACGTGGGTTTTGCAGTTTTTTGCCTTTAAATATCCTAAAATGCTCAGGCTGAGGGCTGTTCCTTGCAACGACAGTTATGGGCCCTGTAGGGAGGAGTCGCCGGCTGGCTGGCTAAATAAAGACCCTTCAATTTGGACAAAACTGGGACTTGGTGTTTTCTGAGCGACCTGCCTCACAATATTTACCACTCTCGGAGTTTGTTCTGCTAGAAATGAAGAGAAAAGAAAAGCTCTCTTCCCTTTTCCTTTCTTCTCTATATCCACTTGTCATTTTATATTTAAAATACAGAATCAGTCAGGTATGGTGACATATGCCTGTAATCCCAGCGATTCAGGAGGCTGAGGCAGGAGGATCACAAGTTCAAGGTCATCCTCAGCAACTTAGTGAGGCTCTAAGCAACTTAGTGAGACCCTGTCTCAAAATAAAAAAATGAGGGCTGGGGTTGTGGCTCAGTGGTAGAGTGCTTCCCTAGCATGTATGAGGCACTGGGTTCGATTCTCAGCACCACATACAAAAACAAATAAATTAAATAAAGGTCCATCAACAACCAAAAAAAATTTTTTTTAAATTAAAAAATGAAAAGGAGTGGGGATGTAACTCAGTGGAAAAGCATTCCTAGGTTCAACTCCTGGTACAAAAGACTCACAAAACAGAATCAGAATTTTCTAGATGAAAGGGAACTATCCCTAAAAACAGATCTATCCTAAAGATCAAAACTCCAGGAAGACAGGGGCTTTGTCTTACTGGATATTGTATCCTTAGGGCCCAGAACAGTACTTGGCACAGAGCAGATAGTAGATATTTTTCTTTATTATCACATGAATGAAAGATTAGTTAGGTCAATCTTCTCATTTCATAAATATAGAAAATAGTTCTCTGAAAAGTAGGAATAATTAGACAGGAACTTCATCGTTCCCCTGAACCCTGCAGCCTCCCCCCACCATAGCTCCCCCTCTTTGGCTTCCCTCTCACTGCCATGAAAGATGCGTCTTGGCCCCTGTCAAAAGACAACCTGATCAAAGGCCTCTGCTGTTTCCCAGATCCTTTCTGGGCTTTGTTTCTACTATTCAGTAGAAATGCTACAACATGTCTATATATCCATATGTCTTTGGAATTGTTATCCTATTTCTCTGCTCCCCTTCATAAAAAGTGTCTTCCAGGAATTACCTAGAGTGTCTTGTTTTATTATGGACAAAATTATACCTCCCCAAATTCATCTGCTGAAGCCCTAACGCCCTGATGTGACTGTATTTGGAGATGGGCATTGAGGGAGGTAATAAAGGTTCATAAAGTACCAAGGGTGGGGCCCTAATCTGATAGGACTGATGTCTAAGAAGAGACACCAGACATCTCTCTATCCACAGAGAAACAACTGTGAGAGAATATGAAAAGAAGGTAGCCATCTACAACCTAGGAATTGGGGCCTCACTGGAAACCAATACTGTCAGTACCTTGGTCTTAGTTTCCAGAGCTGTGAGAAAATAAATTTTTATTGTTTAAACCAAAAAAAAAAAAAGAAGAAAGAAAGAAAAGAAAATAGTTCTCTGAGAAGATAAGTACTTTCTTTCCTTCTTTTAACAAATACTACTTAAACCTCTTGTATATGCCAAGTGTAAGAGTAAACAACAGGATATAATGGTAAAAATAAATAAACAAACAATAAGACATTGCCCTCAGAGTTTACAGTCTATGGAGGACATCAGTTGATTAACCAAGTTCTATATGGACTCTACCAAACCACAAGTCACAGATCTAGCCTGGGCTAGCATGCCAGGAAGCATGCCTGAGGGCCTGGTTATAGTGCGGGGGGAGCAGATCAGGGCAGATCCCAAAGCCCATCAAGGCAAAGACAACATTTTCCTTGCTTACTACTGCATTCCCAGAACCAAGTACGGGCACCTGCACTTTGATTTGTGAGAGTTTAATAAATACTTGCTGCATGACAATGCACTGACACTTAATTTTGGAAGGATGGGCATGAAGTTGGCTGAAAAAAATAGGGAAGGAAAGAAAACTTCCAAGAAAAAGAATCAGTATCGCTCTGGGCCTACAAATTTGGGGTGAATCATTTGTATGAAAAGACAAAGGAATCTGACCCTTATCATAGATTAAATAAGCTTTTGAGGCCCCCCCTGGAAATTTAGCCACAATTCTATCAATGTTCCTGTATGAAAATGTTGTTGTTTGAACTGTACTCACGGATCTCTCTCCAGTATGTGAAACTTTTTGGTGGGGGAGTAGAGGTTCCTATTCTTCTCCAACAGATGACACAATAAGCAGCCAGAGACATTCTGTGCAGGTAGAAGAATGTAACAAATTTAATTCAGCATCTAATATGAACGTTTAACTAAAAGACCATATCATCATCAGAGTGGATTGTCCACAGTTAGATTTTTCTAGACCAAGAAAAAATTTTCTCCCCTAAAACTTACCCACAAACTTACTAGAATAAATTTTGCTAGTACTTTAGTGATTTTTTTCAAACTGTGTCCAATTGTGATTAATGATTAATAGGAAATAAGGAAAATTACAGAATATTAATCATCAATATAGGGGAGAACTGATATACGGAATTCACCCATTCACAAAAAAGTTCACCTTCTTTTAGATATTTTGTCATTTTTCTTCATAAAGGTCACTCATGATTTGTTTCTTCATGAAAAAATTTCAAATGTATAGAAATATAGAAAAATAAAGTAAAATGAATCCCACCACTCAGCTTTGATAATTATCAACATGTGGCTAATCTTGTTTAATATACACCTGCTCTACCCAATAGGCTATCTGCATGATAAACATTTTCTATACTTATGTTAAGGTATAGTTAATAGCTGTTATGTATGGATCCAGACAGTTCACTGAAAAGCTCATCTCTTGAAGATTTGATTCCCCAATGCAGCAATGCCCAGGAATGGGGCTTTTGGAAGTGACTGGATCATGAGAGTTATCACCTCATCAGTGAATTAATCCATTAGATGAATGGACTACTAGGAGGAGATGGAAACTGCAGGCAAGTGGGGCATGGTAGAGAATGTTATGGTTTGGATATGAGGTCTCATCCAAAAGCTCCTGTTAATGCGGGAATATCTGGAGATGAAATAATTTGATTGTGAGAGCTATAATCGAATCAGTCCAGCCTAGTTTGAACAGATTGGATGTAACTGCAGGCAGGTGGAGTGTGCCTGGAGGAGAAGGGTCACTGGAAGCATGCCCTGGAAGGGTGTGTCTTCTCTGTGGCCCCTTCCTCCCCACCTTCTGTCTGCTGACCCAGTGATGAGGTGTTCCGATTTAGAGGTGAGGTATCCCCCAAAAGCTCACATGTGAGACACTGTGAGAGGGTTCAGAGGGAAAATGATTGGGCTGTGAATGCCTTAACCCAATTAGTGAGTTAATTACCCAACAGGATTAACTGAATGGTAACTAAAGGCAGGTGGGGTGTGGCTGGAGGAGGTGGGGTATTGGGTGTGTGGCTTTGGGATATATAATTGGATCTGGCAAGTGGAGTCTCTCTCTGCTTCTTGATCATTATGTGAGTTGCGTCCCTCTGCCACACTCTTCTGCCGTGGTGTCCTGCCTCACCTGGAGCCCAAGGAATGGAGCTGGCTGTTTATGGACTAAGACTTCTGAAACCGTGAGCCCCCAAATAAATTTTTCCTCCTCTACAATTGTTCTGGTTGGGTCTTTAAGTCACAGCAGCAAAAAAGCTGACTAAAACATGAGCTGAGCAGCTGTCCTCTGCTGGTCCTTTCCACCATGATGTGCTGCCTCACCTTGGGCCTAAAACAATGCAGTCGGCCATCTACACTGACCTCTGAAACCACGAGCTGCAAATCAACTTTCTCTCCTCTAAGTTGTTCTTGTCGGGCATTTTAATGACAGTGATGCAGAGCTAACTAAAACACAGGACACAGGTCGCTGGGAGCATGGCCTTGGGTACTACATCTTGTCCATGGCCCCTTCCCTGCTCTCATTCTCCCATGCCCCACTTCCTGTCTGTCATGAGCTGAACAGCCTTCTTCTTCCGCATCCTTCTGCCTTGATGTTCTGCCTCACTTCAACCAAAGCAATGAAGTTGGCTGATCATGGACTGAAAACTCCAAAACTCTTGAGACAAAATGAACTTTTCCTCCTTTATTTATATGTATGTTTTTTGAGGGGGTGGATACCAGGGATTAAACTCAAGGGCACTCGACCACTGAGCCACATCCCCAGCCTTATTTTGTATATTAGAGACAGAGTCTGAGTTGCTTAGCGCCTCGCTTTTGCTGAGGCTGGTTTTGAACTTTCAATCCTCCTTTCTCAGTCTCCTGAGCCGCTGGGATTACAGGTGTGTGCCATCACTCCTTTATGTTTTTTTATGTCAAAAGCTAATTAACACTCTAGCTACATGTTTGTACTGAGGACTTAAAATATGACTAGTCCAAATATATGGCAAGTATAACTAGGGAACTGAGATTATCCTATTTAATTTTAATTTATTTAAATAGCCACATATGGCTAGTGACTATCGAACAGTACAATCTTTACTCAACCCATATTCACTTTCTGATACCACCACATTACATTATTTTGAAGAAAATACAAAATGTCTAATCATTTAATTTTGACTATCTTGTATGTGCCTTTCCTCAAGGGGGAGAAAGACCTATCAAATTGCCTCCAAAATAAATATAATTCCTTAGAACCAACAAACATCTCATTATCACATCAATTATTTCATAAACTTTGGTTTTGTTTTGCACTATTGAACTGTTAGAATTAGGATCCAAACATAGTCTGTACATTACATTTGGTCTGAGTCTGCTGTATAACAAGAGAAAGGTTCAGTATTCCCATTAACACAGTCAACATTTACCAAAGCCAAAACTGCCAGGCATGTGAACTCATACCAGACTAACCAGCCTCTAGCTGACCCTAAAAACTACATAGTTGTTTTAGCCACTAGGTCTTGGGATGGTGTATAAAAAGGTTGCTGTTAGATGTGCCTAAATTTTCCTTTACACTTTAAACATATTAAATCTTAAAAGTTTCTCTGTTGAAGTCCCTATTTCTAATAATTAGGGTTATCTATCCTTCTTGGTGGTTTGCTTGCTTATGTTTGTAATCTTTGATTAAGAGCTCATCTTCCGTCCGAGCATCTACTGTGAGATTCCCATGTGTTCTGGTCTATAGTGCAGTTTCAAATTTACCCCTGCCAGAGTAATACAGACATTACAAATGGATGCATTCCATTTGGATTCCCAGCACTATAAGGACACTGAGAATTTAACCCCACAATCACAAGAGATGAAGATTTAGATTTTAATTTCCATTCTTTCATGTTCCTGGTAAAAGCAAGTGATCAGGTTTTTCCTTAGTCTAATGGGAGGAAATTTTCTAGTCTCTGCACCCTTGAAGGTGTAGTCCCTTAGGGATAATCACTTTTAAGGTGAGCAGAGTTTACCTGGCACAAGCAATTCAGGTCTTGATCAGGTTCTGATGACTCAGTAACTTCTTGTCTTCCTCAGTGCTATGACTTCTGCCGAGTTTCCTTTTCTAATCCTTCTCAGTTTCCTTCTTCTGCAATACTTCACTTAGAATTTTCACTTTGTTTTGCACTATTGAACTATATAAGGGGGTGGGGGTAGATAGTGCTGTCTGGAAGTGAATACAACTTTTTAAATCTGAGCATGACCCAAGATTTAAGTCTTTCAATAATTCCTCATTATCTAAAGCAGTGTTTCTTAAATTGAGTCCTGAGTTATGTATCAAGAATGCCACAAGTTATCTCTGTTTCAGGTGGAAACATGAGAAATCAATTTTTGTTCATATACTTTTCATCTTTAAGGTATGATTTAGGTAATATTCACTCTTTTAAATGTACAGATCCAAGGGTTTAGACAAACACAGTCAAATCAAAATACAAAAAGTTCTATGAATTGAAACATTTTTGTGTTAATTCAGAATTGATATTCTTTCTTCCTTAAAAGGTTTTAAATAGTATTTCCAAATTGTCTTAGAGATAGTCAAATGTCTCCCACTCTGAAAATCACTGATTTGTCCCTATAGTTTTGCCTTTGCAAGAATGTCTCCTAATGGGATCATACAGCACACAGCCTGAACCTGGCTTCCTTCACTTTTTTATAAAAATGCCCTTGAGTACAATTCACAATAGCTAAACTATGGAACCAACCTAGGCAACCTTCAACAGATGGACAGAGACAGATATTGTGATATATATACATATATATATACACACACACAATGGAATATTACCCTTAAAGAAGAGTGAAATTATGGCATTTGCTGGTAAATGGATAGAACTGGAGAATATCATGCTAAGTGAAATAAGCCATTCCCAAAGAACCAAAGGACAAATGTTTTCTCTGATATGCAGATGCTAATTCACAATAAGGCGTCTTTCACAATAAGAGGAGGCTAGGGAAGAATAGAGGTATTTTGGATTAGACAAAGGGGGAATGAAGAAGGACAGGGAGTAGTTAAGGGGTAGGAATGATAGTAGAATGAATCAGGCATTATTACCCTATGTGCATATATGATTACACAACCTGTGTAACTCTATTATATACAACCAAAAGAATGAGAAGTTATACTCCATTTATGTATGATGTGTCAAAATGCATTCTATTGTCATGTATAACTAATTAGAATAAAAAATGTTTCTAAATTTTAAAAAAATTTAATAATGCATTTGAGAATCATCCACATTTTTGTATCTGTGGTATCATTCCATTGTATAGATTTACTAATTTGTTTATACATTCCCAGTTGAGGAACATTTGAGTTGCTTAGTTTTTCATGATTCTGAATAAAGCAGCTATAAACATTTATATACAGATTTTATGAGTAAACATAGTATACATTTCATATTGTTGGATTTGACTAGCTAGTATTTTGTTAAGGATGTTTGTGTCTTTGTTCATCTGAGATATTAATCTCTAATTTTCTTGTTATGTCTCTGTCTTATTTCCACATCAAAGTAGCACTGGTCTTATAAGTTCGTAAATGTTCCATCTTCTATATGCTTGAAATTAATGCAGAATTACTTATTCTTTCTTCCTTAAAAAGTCTTACAGTATTTCCATATTGTCTTAGGGTCTAGAGTGATGTCCTTTCTTTCATTCCTGACTTTGGCAATCTGGATTTTCTTTTTCTTACGTTTGCCAATTCAGCTAACAGTTTACTTCATTGGTACTTCCTTTCCTTCCTTTTTTTGAAATATCTCGCTATCTTGCCCAGGATAGTCTCAAACCCCTGGGTTCAAGTGATCCTCCCAAGTGCTTAGGGGCAT